TGATGTATCTCAGCATTGAAATCCCCTCCGATGATGGTCAGGTCGCCGGCTGGGATCTTACTACGAACTTCGGAGAGCTGAGTGAGGAACGCGTTCCTTTCTGCTGCGGGGGCGCTACTGACAGGGGCATAAGCTACGACCAGCGCGAGGCCTACACGGTGTCCTTGTCTGGGAATGTGGAGGGCAAAAACTCGTTCAGATTGGGCTCGAGGGCGAATTCGGTGACAGCCGCCGGCCTGCCACGAAGCCAGCATAGAAGGGTCAAGGGCGATAGCCACTTTGCCTGCAAGTTCAAGATGCCAAGGTATGGCGTCGACTTCGATCTGAAGGCTGACATCAGAAGAGAACGTCACATCAGTGAAAAGGCAAGCGTTCCATTGACGACGGGCAGCCAGTCGCAGAAGGCAGCAGGTTTTGGAGTACGGATCATACGGCGCGTTGTTACTTCCCCAGCGGCGAACGTTCCATAAGCCAAGCTTCCATTGACTACGTTGGCGTCCGTGTGTACCAGACTTGAGGTGAAGCCAATTTTTGAGTCGTCGATAGATGGCCAACTTACGGGCCCTACGTTTACGACGAAGTTTGCGTTTACTGATTCCCCGGACCATCAGGTCGGCCAGATATGAGGGCATGTAGCTAAAAGCCAAAGGTACGGTATGTGAACAGATGCCATGTGGAGACACAGGGGTGTGTAGTCAGCAAAACCCTCAAATACGACATTAAGCAACGTATCTTTACCCGGCAGTCCACCCAAAAAACTGCCCGGAGCGACCTCCACGTATCGGCGAGGCAGTGACAACCACCGAAGTGGAGGCCACCAACACCTCGAGATACAGCCTGGAACCTCACCTTGCAACCTCTAAGGCGAAGCACCTGGAGTATGGGGGCCGCGAAGTGTGTGTGTGTGTGTGGCTCTACGTCGCTCGCAGCTTTAAAACTCCAAGTACATGACATGCGGAAACTTCGGATCAAAGTGAAGGATGTCCCTTGGCAATGTGTATGCACCGCCATGAGAGCGAACACCCAAAGGGTATGTAGTTGGTCAGGACTGGACTGTTCTAGCGTCACTGTGCAGGAAGCAGCGCGTCAGCGCCCTTTTTTCTGTAGTTCTGCTGGAGTTCGAGTTTCTACACTAATGCAGTCGAGTCCCTAAGCCTGAGCACCACGGCAAGGTGCGCCACTCGCCCAGGAGCCCCGTCGGAAATGTCACCTTCTTCGGGGGATTCAGCCCATGCGTCGGCATGAAACACGACGTATTTGTACCATTCAGAATAATCTTTCCGCGCTAACAGCGGTTTCACGAACGGCAAATGGTAAGTTTTGCCGACTCGACGATAGGTATGTGATGCCAAGTGACTTGCAATTAGGTCACACGTTAGGGCATACTTCTTGTCCGATTGTTCAAATTGGTGCTTCTGGCCTCCTCTCGCTCCGCGCGTACGCTTGGGTTGAGGATCGACGGCCGCCGAAGCAGTTTGTGATGCCTCCGCGCTAGGCGCGGTTTCGTCGTCAGCCTCGTCCCCTTCCTGCTGCTCTTCTTTGGGAGTGGGTCCCGCCTGATCGTCAAGGTCGTCGTCAGGCTCTTCGCCTCCAAAGTCAACCTCCGCTTCGTCAAAGACCGGGTCAGTGGCCAATGACTCAAACTGCGTTGGATGATTGTGAGTATGCAGTGGGGGTAGGCCCACGGGAGAGGTTGAGGGATCGGCATACACGTCCTCCTCTACTTCCTCCTTAGTGGTGGGCTCTATCTTAGGTGGGCCTAACAACGAAAAGGCATCGAAGGGCGGTTCCTCGGCGTTATGTGGGCCTAACGAATCGTCCTGAGCTGACGAGACCTCTCCGCGCGAAGCAGCGGTTCCGGTCTGGAGCTCTGCTTCGATAAGAGGGGTTTCGTCGTTAAGAGAACCAAGGGTGTTGGTCTCAGGCGGCAATTCAATGGTGGTCGGCTCTGCGACAGGCTCTTCTTGCTGAAGATCGTCAACCTCCTCCGCCCCTGCGGTTTCTGAACCTAGAGGCGTGAATGTAGGCTGGGATGACGAAATGCCTGAGGCGACACGGGGAGTAAGGGGTGGCTGCACGGCCTCCCCGAACTCTTGGTCCGTGGTCTCCGCGCTAAGCGCGGTTCCGACCACACCCTCAGGGGAAGCGGGTGCTTCTTGATCCTGAGGGTCCCCAGCAGGCGCCGTGGCTGGTGCTGCAGCCGATGATGATGCAGCGGCGCCTGTTGCTTGCGGCTGGGGATTGACTCGACCCATTGGTGGTCTATGGAGGTACGAAAAACGTGCTGCAAGGGTCCACTCAATGGGGTCGAGTGATGATGCCTGTAGCTCACGGCTACGGCTGATAACCAATTGAGTGTACAATCCAGGTGGGACGTAGGGGAACGCCCAGCTTATCCTATCCACCGGGAGGTGGTAAAAGAAGTAAGCGAAATCCCTAGATGCACGGTCTATATTAATGGGGACACGGGGCGAGTCGGACGGACGAGACCCCGTGGTTGCAACGAGCCGAACGAACGACGTGTGGCAGCGTGCGAACGAACGGACGAAGGACGGCAGGTGCGAGAGCAAAGCGAAAGGTGCGGCCACACACAGTGTAGCCCACACGGCACCCTGAAGGAAAACTGCGCGGGCGCACAATTTTCCTTGAGCCTTGAGCCAAAGTGAGTCACGGACGGAACATGTGTTTACATGTCCGGTGTGAACCGTAACTCCAGAAATGGACATGTAATGAATGCTGTTACATACTAGGGGTTCACAGAAAATGACTACCATGCGTTGCTCTTCAGTGGAAGCGTTCGCATCGGGTCACCCAAACGATTGGCAAAGCTGGGGAGCCCAACATGCTGCAGGCGTTCAGGTAAGACCTGGCCTCAGTCCGGAAGGTAAAGGATCAGCTCCACAAACTCCTCCCAAAAAAGAAAGGTGTAGAACTTCGGCTCAGAAAAGGACCAAAATCATGCGCTCAAACAGATCGCAGGACACGCCACTGTGAGGCTCTCATATGACTCGTCTGACTGAGACTATTCCACGACTTCACTCAAGAGCTTGCTCATTCACGTCGTCCCTTAGCTGCCAAACGCTGTAGATCTGCCAAAGGCCCCTGGCATACCAGCAGACTTACCGAAAATGCCCTCTCTTTGGGGGAATACTGCCACCTCAACCCGGCCGCACTAGAGCGGCCATCCGGCATCATGCTACATACGAAGCATGTCCCTTTTCGCCAAGAGATTGTTGCAGCATTCAACATGTGAATTTCAGGAGCTTTCACTCTCTCCCCCCCTCCGTCCCTCCCTCCCTCCCCACAGCCTGCTCAGGCGGGCAATGATGTCTGCAACTGCCTTCTCCTGGCCGCTTGGTTGGAGGTATCAACAACACAACAAGTCAAAAGCAAGTACAAGTATCAAGGTGTTTGAACCGAAGAACCGTTCATTCCCAAGTGTGTGAACAAGCCCCGAAAACAAGGTGACCCTAGTCAGTCTAGAGTCTAGATGCCTTGAGGTGGACTCAAAGAGTAGAAGGCTTTGTCTACAAACAGCTTCCAGAAATAGAAGCCATAATATATATATATATTATATAAATGTAAGCTAAAGCAACCAGGGCCTCAACGCGCAAGCAGCCAGCCTGCAGGCTTTGGGCCAGAGCCCACAGCAGAAGAGAAGCATGCGGTAGGTCACTCTCCAAAGCATTCCAAAACTATGACCTAAAATCAATTCAAGACACCCATCTTCTCGACCACATTCCCACATCTCGGTGTCTCATCTCGTCTTTCTCCTCCAGCCACATTGGTCTCGCTCCATCTCTGAGAGATGGAACTCGGATAGGGCTCTTGGTCGCTCGGACCACGGGCCCCGGGCCACGCTCGCTCGGCCTATCCGGCAGCAAGGCGACACAAGGCAACACGTGCCCCGGGCAGCGTGCTTTTTCGCAGCGTCCGTCCGCCGCGTCTTGGGCATTCGTCTTTGGGCTCTTTTTTAAGGGTGGAAAAAGGGCAAAATGATGCAAAATGCATGTTGTTGTTCAGGAGAAGTGCACCCCCAGTGTACATAGCCCCCGTCTCTGTTGATGTTTTGCTTGTGATGGTGCTCAGCCTCAGGCCGCATCAGGTTCCCAGAAAAACTGGAAGTGATACTGCAGAGACGTGGAGGAATCATCGAACCCCATTGTATCTGTCTCTATCCCAAAAGCACCGATCTTCGGTTATCGAAGTTGGTGTCGTCGATCTCTGATAAAAGGTTTGATGAAAAAAGTTGCAGCGTAGGGGCTGCAGTTACATTCCTCTTTGGTCTTCCAAGTTCTCACATTGGTAACCAGGAGACCTTCATCCTTCTTCATTCAATGTCACTCGTGATCCACTCGAACTGCTTGGATTTCTCGTGCAGCGGTCGGAACCGCACAATCAAAAGTTCGGCCAAGGGCGGGTGCATCTCACTTACCAAGGATCCAGTGGGTTGGGTCAAAAACGCGGCCAACTTGGTGCTTCACCATCCTTGGTCTTAAATCAATTTATCAGTCAACAGAACATTGAAATAACAACCAGGTGCTTGAATTTCACCGGTGAATTTCCCCACGCCAAGTGAGACATCTCCTTTTTGACCCATCACCAATGAACCCTAACACCACGGCCACCTGTGGCCCTATCAGGCGGCTTCGCCAAGCAAACAGCTGAAGGATGCGCGCGCCCCATGTTCTGCCCGGCTTCGCCGCCAATTTCACGCGGGCAACCCGCTCAAACCTGGCGGCCAAATGGCCGCGGCCAGTACGCTACGAAGGCTCTAGACTCAAAGAGTGACGAGATGGCGCCAACGCCTATTTTTTTTCAAATTGCAAAGTTGCTTTTCAACTGAAGTCCTTCCAACATCGGCGAATCTCAATTCAGAGATTCGAGCGTTCACCGGACAGCACGGGGTTTGCAACCTAACCTGTTGGAATGATCACCACAGGTCGCTACGCAGCTTCACGAGTGAAGCGACAGCAACGAATTGTTCGACACCGGCCTTCTCACATCAACAGGCAATTGGAGTGGCCACCTGAGCAACTCCAGACTCAGTGTCACAAACCTTCCATAAACATGCCAATATGCAGCTTTTAGCCTTATAGCTCAATTCAGTAGGGGAGTGGAGCAGGCCTGCAGAGCTCCCCTTAACAAAACTCCCTGCAGTGTCGTGAGGATATCACTGGAGACGTCCAGTGACGTACCTGCCTGGCTGTGATGTTTTCAAGCTGTGACGACCTTCTTCCAGTAAAGCGCTAATGCGCCTTTGTTCAAACATTCTGTTCTGCTGACCCATCGTTTCTTGCCGTTGAATCAGCCAAGGTCATGTATCCGGCACTCAGGAACTGATTGCATGCTCGACCAGTTGAGCTTTATATCTAAGTGTATGTCCGCACAGGAGCAGGCTGACACAAGTCAGAGCCGATACTCAGATCCCAGACTCTTCTACGATTGCCCCCATAGTCGCCGCCTGGAGAAAAACCTGCCAAGGCACAAACGGGTAAAGCCGCTGGTGCACAGTCGTCCACCGAGGTGTTATTCACAAAGACCTGTCCTCGGCTGTGATCAACGAAGCGGCGACGTGTGCGAAGCGGAAGGTAGGACGACACCAAATGTCAGGAGTCGGTATGAAGCCCCTATACACCCAGACGAAAACAATGGGCCGTCTTTCCTTGAATTTGGCAGGTAGCCTGCTGTGCCATCGGCCCAAGGCAAAACAACCAAGTTGGAAGACCTTGAAGCCAAATAATATCAACTACAGTGTTCTTGCCAAAAGTGAGACAAATGACATGAATACGCGATTTCTACGGACTGGGCGTATTTGGGGGGGGGAATTCACCTGCCGCTTCCTGAAAAAGCCAAGCCTCTGGTGGTCTCCAAGATCGGTGTGCAGGATGCCAGTCCGTCAGGGGCCTGACCGACGCCCAGGACGGCGGTTTACGTCGGTCAAGTCATGCAGGATGCGAAGAACGACTACATCGACCAATGTGTGCAGGGCATCACACGAAACATGCAGGAGTGAAGCAAACCGCCAGGGTAGTTCTCCTCCTGTGATCCATGCCCAGTCGACGCAAAAGAGACGCGTTGTCGCCACCCCCCACCTTCAGCTCGGGCTTCGCGTTAAGCAGGCTGGTCAGCCACTTACCATACTCTGGTAGCATCCTCTTCCTTGGTGCGACAGGCTGCCCCAATAAATCCCAATAGTATCGAACCTGCCCATGCAACGCAAGTCATTTGGATTGTCATGAGCCATGCACGAACAAAAATTGAACTCTTTCCTTGCCACCTGGCCACACAAGCCCATGGCCAGTATACATGCCATTGTTCATGGGCTCGTAAATAAACTTAACCACGAAGACTTGCTCCTGAAGCAACACGAGCCATGAAGCACCGCTTCATCGCGAGCTTCACGCGTCACCAAGGGAGGGTGGGGGCATAAAAGGATACAAAAGAAAAGACATAAAAGGCTACTGATCCTCCTGGTGGCATTCAGACTGGATCAGTTACACACTCTTCGGGTCCGTTGCAAAAAACCGTCCGCCCGGCTCCTTTCGCACGGCTTGCTGAAGCCGTTGCTGGCTGATACCTTTGCTCTTCGCAAAGTCGAGGGCGGCCAAGTAGTTCCTCCGGACGCCGACGGCTCGGCATCTGCGGCATCTGCACCCCAAGTCCAAAGACTAGAAACTCTCCAAATCGTCAAGTAGTCGCTTTAAGCGAATGAAAAGTCAAAGAACCGTAGATGGCACCAAGTAGTCGCTAGAGGGCACCCGTGCTGCGAGTCTCAAAAGCCCGAAGCTTTGGAGAAACTCTCCTCTTTTCGCCCAAAGTGGGGAGCGAAAGAACGCACCGATACTTAAAAAAATCCAAACGGATCCCGGTATGAAGGCTGCTCCGAGCCACTGCTCTGTGGTGGCATGGTCTGCCATGATGAGAGACGGACTGTAAGAGGCCACCTGAGAAACGGGGTGACATCAAGAGGTGTAGCCAAGGTAGTTTGAAATGGTGGCCGAGAAATGCCAAGAAGGTGTTTGTATAGACTGTGTCGTACTGTGCGCATCATTTTCGGTTCTGAATTCATTCGCGTTCCGATGTCCGAGAGTTGTTCCAAAGAAATTCAGGACGTCCTGTTCCACGATCATGTTTCAAGAGTTGGCTTGGCAGCTTAAAGAATGTGCAAAATCCAGCTGAACAGCCACAGCTGCCCTTGCTGTCCCAGCAAGTCCACTTTGCGTGTCAGTCAAAACCTGGTACACCTACAAGTCGCGCCACTAGAGGTATGTGAGAGCAAAGCCAATTCATCCTTGGTTCGATAGCTTTTGATCTTGACCTATCTTCACTTTTTAGGTTTCAGTTGGGGGGAGTTCATCCATCCTTGTCCCGGCACGGATCTTACATCATACACTTACATCGCACGGCGGTTTGGGTTGCCACCGACCTCCTGTGCCTGCGCCCCCACGCTGCCCCATAAGATGCCCTGACCCACACCCATCCAAAGCCACTGGCATGTACTCCTCGGGGTTGAAGGAGTTTTCGACCTCACAACTTCGGATCATCAAGATTCACTGGCTTTCCCTCTTCATCTGACGCAGAGATGTAGGTCATAGATACACGTGTGGGTACATCATAGTACATGTATTATACATGCATGCGCATATTGCAAAGGGTACTTGAAAAATCCTGAACTGTGCATGGCTACCGTACTGGACCTGCCCGTGCACCGCACAACTTCGCAATGGCCTCAAATGGCCTCGTTTTCGCTTTAGTCAAGGCACATCTTGCTTTTCGTATCTCTTCGAGAAGTTCCTCGGAAGACGATAGCAGATCAGCCCTCATCAGCCCTCATCACCACCTCCCAAGGCCAGGAACACAAACGCATAGTTGGTGGTTGTCTTGCCTCCTGCTGGAGGAACGATGGCTTGAGGGACAAAGCCCAAAAACGCGGACACCGTGACACATCATCATGATTGCTCCGACACGTTTGCTGCTTCTTTTTGTCCCTCCTCCAACCCAAATGGTGAACATTCCTTTGGAGCCTAAAGGACCACAAACATCCACGTACATCTACCCGTCTCCCCCGAAAGCCGAGCAGTGCACCGAGCCACAGAAACTCAAAGACAGTCAGCGGGTCCGAAATCTGCTGCGGATCCCCCTTGGGCGACTTGGCGCAATTATAACCTCAGGTCCCAGAAAAGGGAACAACAAAACACACAGGGGCTTGATGAACATGCTGCTGGACTGGAACCCAGTTTGTGAAGGGTGGCTTGGATGCGATGCTATTACTACAGCCCAACAATGGTGGTTGTTTTTTTGTAATTTCGTGAATTCAGGTGGCAAGGTAGTGTCACCCAATACACCTGACCTTGACATTCATACGGCATGATCCTCGGGTCGGAAGACATAAAATACCGGTCAACCTTTGTCAACCAAATCTCGATCGGGACCATCGCTTTCCTCAGAGGCAGATTCCAACAACCCAAACTTTCGTTTAAAACATGACGATAATCTTTGACCTATCTATCCCCCATGTGCATGCAGTCGTCTGTTTGGCCCACAAAAACACCGCCGTCATGGGATCCTTGTCGCAGCTGAGATGCAGTTGTAAACGCCAAGCATAGGAGACACTTCTGACAAATCACCTGCGACTTGTTGGGCAGCAAGTTGCTAAGGATGCTAAGGACTGCTCGCTACAGGCACAACCAATACTCAATATGCCTTCCGCTGAAAGCCCAAACTTACCCTCGGACCTTCGGAGCAATACTCTGACTACTCGATCGTCCCACTTTTCAGATCCCACCGCTTCAAAGAGGTCTCAGAAGTACTTGAAGACTGGTATCTGGAATGAGTAATGATCCTTTTCTCACGTGAGAAATTAGCTATTATATATATACATAATATACTCATTTGAGGCACCAAATGTCTGACATCTTCGCTCTTCGAATTCACGAGCGAGGTCTTTTGCCGGTTTCGCGCCTCCGCTGGTCATGGCCTCGTACACCGGCTTCACGAGGTCTCGGGCGGGTGCCCAGCTCACTTGCCCCAGCTCTCCCTGGTGGCGAAGTCCGGGAAAATGATGGAAAATGACGATTGATGACTACAAGTATGATGAAATATTCGGAACATGTTCCCTCATCCGTCGGTTTGCAATTCTAGGACTCCATGGACGTGACAAGTTGAGAGCCCTCCTTGTCATGTTCTGACTTTGAGAGTTCGTTGGTAGCACCCAAACATCTCAGAGATGTTTGGGCCGATGAGGATCAACCAAAAGGTACAAACGCCTGTACATGTTGGAATATGTCGGTTTCAGGATGTTCCAGGTCGTTTGGATTGGTCCATGTCCTTTGTTGGGTTATCACGCTTACTACTCCGGCGCGCGGGGCGGTCCGACCTTGAAGAGCTCTGTGGGGTGAAAATGCGCACGCAACTCCTGGCATCGCTCCGCTCCGCTCCGCTCGGCGGAGCACCGACGGTGGCGACTTTTCCGTTTTTTGGGAGTTGTTCTACTCAAGGCCAGTGTGCTTTATGAAAGGCAGCTTTACTGTCCCTTCTGCCACTTCAGATGTAAGATTTGGTAGCCAAAATATCAATCTTTTGGAATTGCGGGTGGGGCCAAAGGAGGTGTTGCACGCAAGCATCCTTGAAAAACTACGCACGGACCCTGTCCAAGCCTTCCTGTGGATCTGCCTGAGCATTCGCAGTGTTCCCTGCTCGCTCAGTGCTGTGTTGAAGTTGTTCCGGAAAATGTTTTTAGCCTTGGCGAGGCCAGTTGTTCCGATGGATGGCAGGCTGAACTTTGGGTCTGCGATGGCTTTCCAGCCAAAAGTTTCGAGGAGCCTAACACCTGGGCATCTTTACTGCAATTCGATTTCTAATAATACAGTAACTGCCAGGGTGCTTTGTCATCCACCACCCAATGGCCATATTCGGCGGCATTGTCCAGTGCAAAGAACATGCCCCAAAGTCTCTTGACCGTTCGCAGCTTTGACCTAGGGAAAAATGGGCCATTCGCACGCTAGGAGGCCGCATGCGACCGCGAGCGGAATGGCCGTCACCTTTTTTCTGTTTCAACAAAGGTGCTCTAAAGAGCTTGTGGCATCAACTAATGCCTACATGGATGATGAAAAGTCTAGCCTAAACATTGCCTAACGATGTTCTTCAAAGCTCAACCTCCAGCTCTCATCTTCATGTCGCGCAAATCATGGGCGACTCCCACACCCGAAGCCTCGCCGGGCAGGTTTCGCCGTGCGAGTACGCCGATGGAGATCGCCACGAAATGCGCGTGACAATTCACGCAGCTCCTGAGGCCTGGACCATAACTCATCGGTCATTGTGATTGGTGCCATGACAATCCTTACAGCATCAGTCATTGCGGCAGTCTGCTCGTGCAAGTCATTGGTCAGTTTATGTCACTTCAGTCGAGTCAAAAGCTTTCAAAAGGATAGGGGACAACAAAACCAAAAAGAACCTGGATCCATGCTCTCTTTCTGCCCTTGCTGCTTTGACTAGCTGAATTGGCCAAGCATCACATCAGTCACGGAACCCATGAAGTTTGCACATATTCGCTCACAATCGTCGATCCAGTCCATGTGGGAGGTCCCCAACACGGCGTCCCAACGGTCTAACCTCAAAACATCCAGGGATCAAACATTGCATCAAGCAACTCGTTCGGCCACATGCCTTTTTGACCACTGGCTCCCTCACCAAGTCTGCTACTAACAGGGTGGTGAGCTGATAACAGCGCCTGGCGTAGATCTTCGACCACACAAGCGCCGGGCCAGTCACCATCTGTCTTCTCAAGCGGCTGGCCCTTCCAACCATGGAGCATCTTCACCAGACCGTGGGCCTTGCGGACAGAAAGGTCTCACCATCACCCCCACCCATCTCAACTCGAAAGCTGCTTGGCCTCCACTCGATCTTAGCCCAAGGTCTGCTTGGCATAGTCTTCGATCCTTTCTCGCAGCACGGTCAGCCGATCGGCCGGAGCAAAGGCGGCGTCCAGCGCTTGCAGCGTCAATTGGACCACCTCGTGCTGTGAGAGGCCCACCTTCCGCATGCACAGGAGGAACTCCTCGGCCATCGGTGGAGGGGATGGCTGGTTACACACACTCAGCGAGACTGAGAACACACACGCTCACCCTCACACTACACATTGATTCGTTAAACAGAACAGTTGGAGCGCAAAGCACAGTGCACCAGCCCCAAAGTACACGCCACATTCCACGGCAAAAGTTGCCGGTATCGGTAGCGGGTCCCCACAAGGTGATTCCAACACATTCCAACTAACTATGCAATTACAAAAATAGTATAGATATCTCTAGTAAACATGATGATTTATTATTGCACTTATATATATATGTATATATCTGCCTGTATTTATTGCAATGACTTAACAACCCCCAAAACTCCTCCGAAAGCGTTGTGAGGAAGACTGAAGGATCATCTGAATTGATGGACACAGAGGCACCGGCCTCCAGCATGCTGCGAAGAGGGTGTGACGGCCATGGTGGCTCTTCCTCGCTACTGGCGCTATGCCTCCAGGCGCCCGTTTCCTGCGAGGACGTGGGGCAAACCTCGAAATGCGCTCCTCGAGCCACGAGGGATTTCATCAGCTCCACGTGGTCGGCCGCAGCATAGCCATGTCCCACCCTCCGTGCCCCGAAGTCAAAGACGGCATGGCGCACGTTGGACGCGTTGCCCATCTCCCCAGCATGGAGGGTGACGGGGAGCTTCAGGGCCTGTGCCCGGGCAAAGGCCTCTGCATGGCCAACAGGGTCATCTCCGACCTCGCCAGCTGCCACATCGACACCCACCACGGCACAGGGATAAGCAGAGCGATACTTCTCAGCCAGGTCAATGATGGCCAAGGACCACTTGGGCTGGAAGGAGATGCAACAAATAATTTGATTCACCACAATCTGATGTTCCTCACATCCCCGGCGCAAGCCCCGAGTCACAGCAGCCAAGGCCGGCTCGGGGTCAGAGCCTCCATGCGAGAAGTACTCACCGTCCAGCAGCAGGTGAGGCGAATAGCGCACCTCGGTATATGCGATGCCTTGAGCTGCTTGGCTCCCACAAAAGCGGTAGCTCAGCTCCTCCACGGCAGCCATGTCCCCGCGCACGCAGGGGAGGAAGCTGCTGAAGCAGTCCTTAGGAAGCTGCTGGAAATGCCCGCTGCAGGAATGGAAGGTTGAAACATGTTGAAAAGTTAATGAGGCTTGGAGTTGTAGGGTCGAGGACCCTGAGGCGAGCTATGACCAGGTAGATGATTGGGGGTGCAGTTCTACCACATGGGAGTCCTGCCATCCATCTTCAGCAAAATCAGGGGTAGAAGTCGAGTGAAAAACATCTTCGGGATTGACCTCTTGGAGACTCCTCGTCCGCCAGAATTCCCCCATCGTTCTTCCAGCTTGGGGGCTGGGCTTGCGCCCCACTCCTCGTACATCAGTCACATTTGCCTCTATCCCACACCCACCCAGAGTGCAGGCTCAACCTCATTTATGCAAATCGGATCTCTTTGTGCAATTCTTTTCATCAGAGCCCTGGCTGCCATCCACCACATTACCAAAATTTGAAGTGGTTCCCGCTGGGTTCCCGCTAACCTCTCCATCGACCCAAATTCCAACAAAGCATCCAACATGGCCTTCAAAGATCTTTGACCTCGGCAGGTGATGAGCTTCTCGAAGTCCTTGACACCCTCACACGCCCTCACCATCTCTCTCAGTGGAATGGCCTTCCCGGTGGCAGCGCTCTCCACCTGTGACTCACTATCATAGCAAGCATTGATATGGGCTCCGGTTGGTGAGTCATAAAGTGAGCCATGATGACACACAAACAAATATCCTTAGTAAAAATGTTTGTGAGCTTTTGAAGTCCCACTGGTTCTGAGCCTATGTGTACATGCATTTTCTAGAAATAACACCCACACCTCCAAAGGCAAGTCCTCCACTTTGCGCTTGGCCAGCTCAAACAACAAGGCCCGATCGAAGGCACCATCCAAGTGCACATGCAGCTCCACCTTCGGCAGGGCCAAAACCCAGCCCTCCAAAGCCTCCATCGCCGATGGCTTTGGGCGCCCCCGCCACGGGGGCCGTCGCGACTGCAGCTGCGGCGAAGTCCCAACAAATTTCAGTCAATTCCATGTGTGCGTGTATGTCTCTTCTTAGACCAAGAGAAAGCAGCATTGCGAGGAAATGTGCTCACACAAGAAGAGGAGCAGACAGAGGTTTGCTCAGAGGTAAAGCCAATACGAAGGAGTAGGCAGCAATCTCAATGATTGCGGCAAACATGCGGTGTTGGGCATCGCGGAGTGTGTGGAGTGTTTTTGGGATTCGGGGGTCTGCGGGTGGTGGGGTGGAAGAGGGGTGAAGGCCCCAAAAAATTCTGTGTGGCTCTTGGACTGGAAAATCTCATGCACCGGCCATACATGTAACCTGCACATTCACACTGCTGGGAGTATGTGAGTATGAAGAATCCAACACTTCGACTTTAGAGGTGTGGCCATTCACATCCTTTCTCATCGGCCATTCTTTCAGTGCCGAGGAACGCATCTTGTACGAGCTTTCGTGCCCGTTGTCGCCGCTTCTGCGCAAAGCCCTGCGAAACCTTGGGGCATGAAATCATACTCAGATGTTGGCCCATTGCTGAGTGATGTTGAGCGAGGCATCAAATCGCCCGCGTTGGTCTCAGCCTAAGCCTAGGTGCCCCATGACCCTGAGAACAAACAATCAAAAAAAAATGTCAAATCTGGCGAAGTCACATCTGCCTTTCTGTCGTATGCACCATTTGCATCCACTGCAACCTGTCAAAAAAGAGGCAGGAAAGGCGCAATGAGCCTTTCCGTGCTGTTCTGACTGATCGCTTGAGGCTGAGGTTGTCGGTGGGCTCTACAATATCTACCTTGCATACAGGCCCGTGCCCCAAGAGGTGTACCGAATCACAGGACAGCTCAGGGAAAGTGCTGGAAGGTGAGCCCTCAAGCATCCTCAAGCTGCTTTTGGGAGACCTTCATGACACGTCATGTTCCCAACAGTCCGAGTCCCCGTCCAAAACCCCACCCATCCGATTCGTCTTCGCTCCCACATCCGATCGGCGGCCTCCCCATCGATCTCGTTTAAGATCCGATTGTAGGTCTTGGCAGACCTCGCGGTCTCTTCTCTCCGCGTGGCGGCGGTCTCGTCGGTGACGCGTGGCGGTGTTTCACCCCCACGAGTCTCGAAGGCCACCGTGGCGCCGTTGGAGGTACCCCAAAGTCTGGTGGAAACACCACAACACTTTGCCAAATCTCCAGCCCAACCGCAAGCCCAAAAAACCCATAAAAGGAAATCCATGAGTTTTGCAGCATGTTGCCCGGCTGTTCCTGGTTCCAGCCGACTTGTGGTGCACGTCCGTGCCGTCTCCGCACTTGCACGCGCGCCCTGCAGTGCCATCCACTGCTCACTCCAAGGCACAGTGGATGGCCAAAGTGGTTGCCCTCTAGATCCCCGCGATCAAAAAGAAATTCGCGGGCAAAATAATGGTGAGACCTCAGAGCGTTCGCATGCGTTCGCCACGTTCTCTTGCCCAGGTTCGATTCCCGGTTCAGCCGTTCACGAGTCGAGTGAAGAGACCATCCGAGCCGGCCCCAAAGGTGGCGAGGCTCTGGTGGACTTGAACTCCAATAGTCAATAGTCTCAGTCGTGTGTTCCTTTGAATCACGGGGGTTGGTGCATAGTACATAAGCAACATCAAGCAACCAGACAACGTATATAAGTTTTATGGCGTTGGCAGCCTTGCACAGTCCCCCAAACGACACTAATCCATTGCAGTGCCCATCCGCGCTGTTGTGCCTTTCTCAATACATGCCCAGCCAGGCAGCAAGAGATGCTCTTCCGGAAACGGAAGTACCTGGCCAGCTAGTGCAACGAGCCTTCAGCATGCACAGAAACACACACACAGGATCTATATGGATCTATCTTCGGAGGCGAGTTTCAGGCGTCCATTATTCCATGATATGGATTTAGTATGATTTACAGTGTGCAACTTAGCTCAATTTAGTGTGTCCATTGTGGAGCCTTTTCTGCGGCCTCTTTGGCGCCTAGTGGAGCCTTAATGGCACAAGCGCCCAGACTGTATACCATCTTCAGGTCTAGCCTTTCATCATGGCCCCAACCACGACCGACCAGTTCTCACAAGTGGCGGGCAAAAAATGTGTTCAAAGGACAGGGGGGTTGGCCGAGACTCAGCGGCTGTTTCGTGGCCACTGAGCCCTCTTTCAGGTCCGGACTGCCGAAGACGTAGCGTGACGCGGCATCCGAGGCGTGACAACGTGCACGGTCGGAAAAAGAAAAATATCTCATCATCTTCTTGTCATGGTATGGGCATGTATGGGGCTCATATATGGCATGGGTGGCGGCATCAGCAATGTTGACCCGAAGGAATGTGGTGTGAGAATAGAAACACCAGAACAACAGCGATCCAAGAACACCCCGGTTGAAGAGGTGCCCTTGCTATTCCTTGCATAGGAAGCTCGTGAAAGAACTCAACTGACACTCTGTAAACGAAACCGATGTGTACGGTTCATCGGACCTCATAGGGCCCCCGATTTCCGTTGTACCGTGAACACGTGCACCTGCTCGCTACGATCTCAAGCAGCTCAAACGATCTGGAGCAGCCAAGGCGCGCAACAAGGGAAACATCTGAGAATCAGCTCCCAAGAGGATTGATGCATCGGGTCCAAGCCCAATGCCATCATTATCACTGAATACCTGGGATATGGAACACGAGCCAGCATGCGGCCAATGTACGTCTTCAGCGACATGCACAGCACCCACCAGCTGTCTTTCTGATGAGACTTGAAAGAGGTACAAAGCTTCACCACACACGCTCACAGGTCCCCTGCTCCTACCATATCACGATCTTTGACTAAGGCTAAGGGCCCGTGGCCCTCATCTGCCAAGCTGCATTCTTCGGATCTCATTCCGTAGAATGAGATTGCTATCCTCCTGATTGCTCGAGGGGAATCAAGCTGGAAAGGTGGAAACTCAGTGCTACCACTACCGCTGCTACCACGGCGAGAATACCCCTGGCCTTTCCATCAACTCTCTCTCTCTCTCTCTCTCTACCCCTGTTTCCTGTTCAGCCGCTGTGCGAAGCCCCTACGCCCTAGGTCTCCAATACGCAAGTTGCAAGTTAATGCCTCAAAACGAACGACCACAAGACTTTCCAGAAGAGCCCGGTTTTCGCCCTCTCCTGTGCCCTGCTGAGGAGCTCAGGATCCATCTCCTCGGAGCTCCGGTCCAGGAGCAACGAGCAAAGAAGGAAGCTGCTGGGCATCATAATAGGCACAACCGTCACACACAGACACACGCCAAATAAAGAATAGACCTGCACGATGCATGATGAAAGCATACTCTTACTTGGAATCTGTCTTTCTTGAAATGAATTCTCACACAGGGGTTGAGACACCGCGGCGTTTAAACGTTAAACAGGCTCTCATCAAGGGGCAACCCTAAGACGCACCAAAAAGCCATCATTGTCAAGTCTACCAAGCTGATGAGTCAATGGCACCATCCTTCATGTCAGCGTGCACAGTCAATCCCTTGTTTACGGGAAATAAACTTCGAACTGAGCTAGGGACCTGATCTGCTCTCGCTACCATTCCAGTGCCCTCATGGAAGTTCTTGACCTTGGCCCAGTTTCGGTCGTGCCATGTCGTGCCCTTGCTCCATTGCCAGACCCTCCGGTCTTGGAGGTCTGTCGACAGCCAAGGGGCGGGGTCAAAAGCTCGGAAATCTGGACGATTGCCAGCCTCGGCATCGAAGAACACTCACTACACTAGTAGCCACTAGTTACTAGCATCGCATAGCATGGCCCACGAGCCCACAACACCTCCGATCCACTTCGATCAGTGGCTTCCTCAAGTTTGGGCCGTCGTGGCCGTCGTGCCGAGTTGTCCAATCTCAAGAACTGGGAGGCCGAGTTGGCCGGCCGAGTTGACGGAGAGCAGCGTTGGCTTCGGCTGCGTCCAGCCCAAGCCTTCGACCTCCCCAGACCAGTCCCGAGGCCCCGGACTACGGCCCTGTTGAAGGCGCTCGGGAAGCTGAGATCCACATGTCGAGGGCTCACTCCCCAAAGGCCACTTACTCCCGTCACCTGTGACAAGTCCTGCCGGCCGAGGCGTGGAGAAGACGGAGCTTGGGCCGGGCGGACCGATGAATGGGGCTGACCTATGTTCAGAAGTGAGAAATGGATTTTAGGGAGCTCGTGCTACTCCGGAGGGTGTGCTCACTATGCAGCCCAACAAACACCAAATAAAAGCGCAGGACCAGTGTCCTGAAGGACATCTTGCAGGAAACCGAACAGCGCAAGCCTCAGAATGAGACGAAGCTGCTAAAGCCCCAAGTTGCAAAGCCTGCCCTTATGTTCATGGATGTCTCATCTATCAAGGCCCAATACAGGCCTCATTCTACATGCTAGAAGCATGAATCTAGTTGCAGTTGCAGTAACTCCTTGCATACCCACCTGGAAGGTTGTTCACCTCTCATCACCCCGTGCCCACTCTGCAGCTTGACCGATATTTGCAATGCAAGGAGCTGATTGTCTGAGTCAGACGTGTCCTGCGCGCACTGAGTCAGACAGGACTTCTGACGGTCTCTGTCTAAACATCTGTTTGTGGAGCGTCCACTCTTTGGATTGACTCATGGCATGCACTCGGCCAACTAAGATTCTAAGATCCATCCAGGCAGCCAGGCTGCCCTCACCCAACCTTTCCCCAGCCCAAAGGGCACAGTCCTGGATTAGCAAAGGGAAGGTCTTCCTTGACATGACCCTCCGAACCTCTTTGACTACCATGAGCCGTCTGTGCAGCGGCGAAGGTCGAACTCTGGACCCCCCGCAGTCGCCATCTGGAGCGATCTCCAAGGCGGCATGCCTTTGGAACCAACCGAATGAGCTTCTCCTTCACCGCTCCATTACCGCAAGTCCAAAACAAATGGAGATCCAAGGTGGGCAACTTCCAATGTCACCTGCACCCTTAGGGACGCGCCACTTTCAAAGCTATGAGCAATCACTGGGTGGAGTCAGTCCCCGCATCCTGGTCGGAGAGCCCGTCTTGCCTGTTTCTTGGGCACCCCAGGGCCATCGAACTTCCTGCACCCCTTGCAGTACCAAAGTCACCACACAACTGGGAGGTGGGTTAGGTTCAGGTTAAATGTATTCTTAAAAAAAGACTTACATACTGAATCCTTGAGGCAAAGGATCCCAAATTGCAGCCTCATTCCCCAAATTCAGACCAAAACGAAGCGCCCGAGTTCCAACTCGCAAACACCAAGCGCCTGAAGGATGGCACCGTACACGAAGCAACGCCCCAAGAGCCGGTCCTTGGCCTTGTTGGCCTCGGGAGTGGAATGGAGCTCCCCGAGCGGCGGGGGAGGGTGCGTGGTTGAGAACCTTCGGCGTAGTCCAACGAGTGAAGACATGAGTACGTCGTTGCCGGGGAGAGAGAGGAGGGAAAAAAGCATGTGTTTTCTCCCAAAATGGGCGCGCATGGGGAAATTTTGGAGAAAGCTGTTGCTGCGGCTGCTGAAACACCAAGCCAGGCCCTTGGTTGGAAGGCGCTGCTCCTTTGCGAACCCGATCAACTGGGCACGACCACCCTGAGGCCAGACTGAAGCTCGGTGGCCTTGTCAATCTCCTTCAGCACCTCACAGGGAGGTGCTAACCCGTCCGGGAGGTCATGATATGGTTTAGGAGGCCCTCTAGGGCTTGGTATGGTTTAGGAGGTGCCATTTGGAACCATGGGACCGGCGCAGAAAGCCTTTCGGCTGAGAGTCTATGTAGACAGGTGCAGCTTGTGAGATCCAGCATGCATTTGCAGATTGCCGAGGTTCTTGCAATTCTTCCCAAGTTTGGAAGTTTGATGCGTTGGATTCCGGTGCCCTCGACCCAAAATCGATCCTCTCCCGAGAAAAAAGCAGAGGAATCAATCCAAGAGCTACAAATTCCTATGGGTTTCTGCCTCTGCTTCGATTCTACGAAGCACGTCGACGGTCCAAACAGGGAAGCAATGAAGCATCAACATGCCCTGTCCGGAAGGCTAAGCAACAAGGTATCACCCCCCGCGGAGATGGCCCAGCGGCTTCGACCATCTCTGCTTCAAAATCCTCTCTGCACATGAAGAACAACCCCTCAAAACGATTCAAGAAGTGAATAACCGGACCCGCGGCGCGAAGCGCATGCGCGAAGCACGCCGCGCCGTCAAGGCTTGGGAGGGCATCGCATGCAACAGCTCAGCGATCGCCAGGGAGAAGCCAGGGCCTGGCGTTCGCTGTCAGAAGAACCAGCCGAGGTGGGAGGTGGGAGACGAACGCTGTCAGCCGAAGAATAGAACCTCTCTTGTTGAATCTTGGCGTGCTTCAAGTCGTGCAGAGTTAGCTTCTCCAATTCTTCCTCGAGGTCTTGAATATGGCATCGCTTCACTGGCAGCCCTCGCAAGTCCCTTCAAGACTGCCTCTGCGAAGCTCGATGGGGGAGGAGCTTGCGAAGAATCAGCATATTTGCATTACAAGGACATTTTGTGATTGGCAAAAGATAATTTCCGAATAATAGTGAGAGATCATGAGACACATGTACCTAACGCAACGTGCAACATGTGCTTCTCAAAAGAACGGCGCTGTTGGAAAGTGCACGACAAAATGCATCAAAATGCTCGAAACAAAATCCAAGGTTGCCCAGTTTGCCATGAACCACCTCACTGTGCCCTGCCGGACCAGCCCCAGCGGCCCTGCCCTTGGTAACTCGACAGATTGGCGGCAGAACTCTCTGGACGATTGCACCTCAAAGCGGCTTATCTCGATGCCCGTTGGCTCGGCTAAAAGGAGCTCAAGGCCACGAGTCGAAATCGAAGATATCAACACATTGAGGCATTTCCCTACTTGCCTGTTGCATCGACTTTTGAACTGATATATGCCCCACAAGCCGCGCAGCTCTCTCTCTCTCTCTCCCCATATGGAGGCCGTGATGCCAAACCCTTCGTCGTCCGAACGGCAGCCAGTCGCAAATGGAACATGCGCTGGACGCCCCCTCTTTTTTGAAACGGCCGCCTGCGGTCCTCAAGGAGGACCAGTACAAGGACGTATACTACGACATTGCCGTGGGGTTGAGGAAACCTGACGGCCTTGCGTTGAAGACTCATGCCATCAAGGAGACCTGATCCGGGTCATAACTCGAAGATTATTAATATTCTTGCAACCTATGGTGTGGTCCTTGCCTTGGCAACTTCAAACCCATCACATCCCACAGGGAATTGAAACTTGATGGACTTGCAACAGATACTCTCTCTCTCTCTCTCTGTCTCTCTCTACTCTAGACTTCATGTGTGCTCTTCTGTTGCTCCATTGGACCCATGCGGGAGGGTTCGGGCATGGTAGCTGATGACATTCACTCAGGTGGCACGATCACCGACCTTCCTTTGATCACAAACTGGGAAAAAGCCGCCAAATCGCCCAACCCCGGATGGAACGCTGGAGCGCTGCTGAAGAAGGTGCCATGTGCAGAGGTGCCCTGCCCTACTCCTCTGTGCAAGAATATCACGAACCACTGCACCAAAAAAAGAAAAACACCTATCTCACCACTGATGTGCACATGCACATCATCTTCCTCAGGTTTGGGGCAACTTTGTAGTTTGGCGGGCCAAGACAATTCAACAGCGAGTGAACATTGACTTACACTGCACCACCCCTGGGCAGTACCTTGTCTGGACCAGCAACAACTTTAATCTCAACAAGTGAGTCCCACTTGGAAGGGATGACGCCGCTATGTGTTTTAAAAATATGGGAAGGGAAATGTCGCGATCGCGTTATCAAGAGTCTGGCCATCAAAACCAAAGCTTAAGTGCCGCCGTGGGGGGGGGGTGAGCTTGGGATGGAATGACGACAACCCAGAGTAGTGCGAGCGCTGGCCCCCAGACTGAACCGCGCACCCTGCCATATCATCTTCCACACAAGGGAGAACACCCGTGCTCACTTGAGCTCACTCGCCCGCCGGTGCGCCTGCGGTCGTGAAGATTGCGGAGCTAGCTTTAGCTACCGAACTCCCTGACACCTCTCTGATTACAAAGCCACTGAGGGAAGCAAAAAAGATATACATATGTAATACATACATATATACATACGCAATATACTAATATTTGTCTCTCTCTCTCCCTCTCTCTCTTTCTTCTTGAAGGCACACCCATCACCCACGAGAAGTTCTAGTTGCTGAATTGACTTCCAAACCAGGTCCGGAGCTTCCTGTCTGTCGGATGGTCGGGCCCTCTCGGTCGGACCGTCTCGGTCGCCTCCTCCAGCTTCAGGCTTCTTCTGCCATCTCTCTTTCCTGTCGAAAAACGGCGCGTGTCGCCCTGGGCGACTCTGAAGGGAGTGGTCATCCGGTGGATTGAAAGGGGTCGCTCTTCTGTCCTCTTCTGGCAAGCCCCCCAGCTGCTCAGCAGCCCACCCCAGGAAGAACAAGTACAAAAAAGAAGGACATGCAACAAAAACAGGCATCACTCCCCCTCTCTTGACGTCTCATCGGTTTCTGGCCTTCGAGGTGGATGCCGCTCCACGGCCTCGGCCTCCCATTCGCCCCGCTTCCGCCGCGAGCACAGCAGCCGGACGAAGGACTTCAGCCGGTAGAGCACGTTGCCGTCCTCGCGGAATAGAGCACGGCGGATGTGACGATGTTGTGCCCCTCCTGAACCATCATCTGGAGGGGTCTGGGGTCGAAGCTGCAGCAGTAGCGGCCACCCTTTTGCCGCTTGAACAACAAAGGGCTTCATGTTCACCCTTCTTTGGTACACTTCTTGATTTAAGTGCGTGTTCTCGCACCTTGGACTCTCATGAAAACTTGGTACACTTCTTTATTTGTGCACCTGCGCTCCCCCTTCGCTGCTAAGCGAACTGAGGCGCTCTTTTGTCCAAAATCCCCTTTTCGGGGAGGCTCAAGCCCCTTCACGTCGTCTTGAAGACGGTATAGCCCCACCACAGCTCCAGCAGGCACCCTCGCTTGCCGTTCCTCTCATCCACGAGGATCGTTTTCCTCTTGGACGCGATGTGCCATGCCACCGTCATCCTCCACTTTCCCCACCTCTCTTCGAGAAGCGTCTCACCCTCGAAGTCATACAACTTCTTCCTGTCCTGGTAGTGGACTCTGATCCCCACCTTCTTGCCCCCCTCGAAGTCAATCAGGTAGTCCCATGAGTCCTTGGCCGAGGTTCTCCGTGGTGGAATCGAGAGAACCCTTTGCGCCGCTTCATTGATGAAGCCTCTCTGGAATCCCGGCGTCCTCAAGTAGTCCGCCATTTCCTCCTCGTGGCACCACTTTCCCAGCACAATGCCCGGCTCGACCGTGGTGATCAACCTTAAAGGTTCCACTCTTGGGAGACTCGGCTGATGGCCTCCATCCCGTGGACCTTCTCCTCCTTGAGGCTGTGCCCGAACTTCTTCACTTCCCTGTGCCATCATCTCGGCCCATTCGTTCGGTCCTCGTCCGTCACCTGGATCTCGCGCCACGAAGTGAACTCCCTCGCTATCGAGCATCACCCATGTTCCTCCGTGGTCACGTCGTGGTCCTCGACGGATCATGTAGCGATCCCACGCGCTCATCGGCAGCCCCAACTCTGCCCGCCGCCTCCTCTCATTCTCGGGGTCGTAGCTTCCTCGATGCCGGAGTTCTGAATCGTGTACTCGAAGTACATCAGGGCCTCCTTGATGGTCACCACTCAAACTCTCACCGTGCACCTCCTCTATCTGGGTACTCTGATGCAATAGTCCCTGATCGGCTTCTCC